TGATGTGATCCCGGCATCGGGAAGCCACGAACCACACTGGGCTGAACTCCGGTGCGCACTTGAGTCTGTGTACATGTAGACTTGTTTAAAGTCCTTTCACTCTTGTGGTGTAGTGATGATTTAATAGTGAATTTAAACACAAACATTGCTATTAAGCTGCATCAAACCTGTTACGTATTCAGCAAGCGAGTTGTGGTCCAGCGGTGGGAACAAGACAGGCAGGCTCCCTGTCCTGGGGAGTCCACAGGTGGGGCTGCCCTGCCTGTAGGAGCCCCTGGAATGGGAAGCCCTTACACTCAGCATGAAGGGTGGCGTTGCCAGAGCCCTGGGCTTCTGGAAGGCTCCTTAGGCTGTGTAGGCGAGGTGTCCCACGGGCCAGGGTCTCGGGACCAGGAACACGCTGAATTAGCAAGGCCGACAGACCTCTGCTTTTCATGCCTCCTGCCTCCGAGCTGGCAGCTACCCAGGAATGCTCACAAATAGAAAACCGACTTTGTTTTCAGAATGTTCTCGAGCGTAGACTCCAAAGGCTGCATAAAGGCATTCTTGTGGGGCTGGCTGTCGACTGGGGAGAATCATGCCGGGGCCCCAGACCAGAGCATCCCAGGGGATCTGCCCACAGAATGCCATGTGTTGGCACAGGGGCTGGGTTCAGGGTGGCCCCGGCTCTGTTGCTGGCAGGCCTCTCAGAGGTGCTTCACAATGCGGATTCTCGGGGGTTCTAAGATCTGGGTCTTCAGAGGAGCCCCGGGCTGGACTTTCAACAGGCTTTCGCTCTCTGGCCCTTCTGTCTCTTGGAGTGTCGGGCAACTCGGGGCCAGGATCCCACCCTGGAGAGTAGCGGTGCGAGGGCTTTAGTCAGGCTGTGTTTCTCCAAATTTCCTGATCCCGAAGGTCTGCATCTGTGACCTGCGGGTCCCCTGACTCCCCTCTGCCACGTACTCCTCCCACCTTCTCCCACCTTCTGCCACTTTCTGCCACCTCTGCCCGCAGCACTTAACCCACCTTCTGGGTTCTTCGCGCCTCCCTCTGGTGTTGGTGGGCACTTCATTCTTCCAGCTTGATTATCAGGTCCTAAGAATAAATGCTTACAACGCCTGCTTCCAGAGTTCCCAGAAGTAGGCTCAGTACATGGCACCGCCCGGAGCTTGCTCCCTGCGGAGCTGACTTGTGTCCAGAACTGCTCCTGCCAAGCTCTGCAGGGGTCACCTCCTGATCCTTTTGCACCTGCCCCTGTTAGAGCCAAGCAGGACCTTCTCTGGCCCGCTCTGCTCACCCAGCCCCGCTTCCCATCCTGTTCTCACCCCGCTTCCCCTGCCCACCAACCCTACTCTCCCATCCTGCCTGCCCGTCACTGCTCTGACCTTCCATCCCCTCACCCTCTGCCTCCCCGACCTTGCTCTCGCACACCCTCTTGCCCACCCCCTGCTCCCTTGAAAGCCCTCTTTCTTTCAAAATCCCTCTGAATGTCGAGTCCCGTAGACCCCTTGAGCTTGAGGTATTCCCTGGCCTGGCCCTGTCGTCGCCAGCACGTAGCAGAGAGCCCTGCACACCGGTGGGCGTGGTGGTGTCTGTGTGGTCCAGCCCCCTGTTAGGACTACTTCGTGGATGAAGGGGGATGAAGCTCGTGCCCAGCCTGCATACGGGGAGCCTCCTGTGACTCTCTACCCCCTTTTGGTTGTCAGCCTGGGGGCTGCCTGACTTCAGGATCAGTGATGTGGGTCTCCTAAAATGCAACAAGATGTAGTCCTAGTTGTTAATTTTTGCTTTTGTTGCCCTCGCCTGTGGAGACACCCCAAAATACCGCTTAGACCAACATCAAAGAGCTAACTGCCTACATTTTCGATAGCAGCATCAGCGATGCTGCCGTCATGATCATTCCATAATGTATGAAAACATCCAGTCACTCTCCTGAAACGAATGTCATATTGCATGCCAGTCATAATTTAAATGCAAAAAATGCCGCGAGAAACGTCCTGGGTGTGACCGTTGGGCCTGGGCCCTGCATGCGAGGAGCTGGGTTTGAATCTTAATCCGTCCGTTTCATCAGAAAGGTAGTTGTGTCCCTGGGCCTTGGTTTCCTGTTCCAGGAAATCTCCCTTCTCGCCCCCCGATGCCGGAGTGGCATGGGGCGGGGGGCTGGGGGGGCCTGCGACTGTCATGTGCTGTGTGGGAGGTACGAGCCGCCGGGCAGAGCGGGGCTTATTCCCTGGCCTCGGATTTGCTTCCTTTGGGCAACATCTCTCAGCGAGAAGTGCTGACCCACAGCTTTGTTCCTTTGCAGGCAGGTGACAGCAGGGACATGTCTCGGGAGCTGCAGGATGTGGACCTCGCTGAGGTGAAGCCTTTGGTGGAGAAAGGAGAGGTGAGTGGAGACACTCCTGGCTACCTCCTCTCACATGCGCGCTCGTACGTGGGCATCCGTGGGTGTATAATACAAACACACACGTGTGTGCATGCACGCACGCATGCATACACACTTGCACATGTCCGCTGCTTCCTAGTGACCAGGACTGCAGGAGGACAAGGGGTACCTTGTCCTTGTAGTCAAACGTTTCATGTCAAGGAGGCCTCCCTGTTGGAAACGGCAGCCTGTGTCCTCCAGCTGGGGCCGGCACGGTCCCTCCTGGGCTGGAAGAGCCTTTACGATTGCACAGTTGACGTTGCGTTCTAAACTATCTTCACCTCCTCCTTCTTACTGAGGATATAACCGCGTGTGATGATACATCTTTTTAAAAATAACAAGGCTCAGGCTCAGGCTCAAAAGTGGTTCTGCTAAGGCCAACTGAAGGCTTTCAAAAAGAATAACGAACATGCACGAAGCCCGTCTCGCATGCCTGCCACTGGGCGGAATTGCATGGTTATCTCGGGCTAACCGACAGGATGAGACTGTGATTGGCTAGATGCTAGGTTCTATGATCCTTCCCATTTTACAGAAGGGAAAGGGGAGTCTCGGGAAGTTCATTTGTCCTCCATCACATAGTTGATAAAGTGTGAGGCATGGAGCCAAATCCAGGCGAGCTGCCTTTGGTGAACGGCCTGTTCCTTTGGTTCTTTTATGACCGGGTATGTGGCTGCTGTGTCTTAGGTCCATTATCTTGTGGACTTTTCATTACGAATGTGTGAGGTCACCTCCTCTAGCCCCATTTTGCAGATGCAGACAGTGGTCTGTGATGAGAACGGAATCACCCAAGTTCATTCAGATCAGTGGCACAAGGAGGATGAGAAGCCAGGCCCAGGGGAAGCTGCAGACTCCTTGTTACCGTCCTGCCTTGGGGGTCTGCAAATGTTTCCTGTAACGAGCCAGACAGTAAATATCTCAGGCTCTGCGCGGCAACCACTCAGCTCTACCGTTACAGCATGAAAGCGGCCGTGGACAGTATGTGAGCAAATGGGCTTATTGTGTCCCAATAAAACTTTATTTACAAAAATAGGGAAGGGCCGTTGTTTGCTGATCCCTACTGTTCACTGCACATGCTCCAGATCCATTTCCTCTTCCATTTGGGGTCTGTGACAGAGTCTTAAAAAGCAAATAAAGAAACAAACCCTCGGTCATACAAATATATATCAGCATGGTCTCATTGCTCCCCTTTAAAAAGCCATATGAAAGGTATAGCAACTTTGCTTTACTCATGTGGTGAACTCTCTTGGAAACCTTTCCAAAGACTGTCCACAGAACACTTTCCCCTTCCAGCTTCATGGCCTCCCCCAGAGTTTGTTTGACCAGTGCCTCGTCTGTAGACATGCGGGTCTTCCCAGCCTCTTGCTATTCCCAGCAATGCTGCAGGGTGTTTGCATCATTTGGACCTTGGACGTACGTCATTCATATACGTGCAGGTGCAACTCTGGGATAAATTCTCAGGAGTGGCATCTCTGGGTCCAAGGCTAACTGCATTTTTAACACAGTATTTATACTTTTCAGGCACCCTGCTGGTATCTTTGGAAAACTTTATTTTCGAAGCCAACATCTAAGAGGTTATCACTTGGAGGTGGCATGTCAAGGTTTCGGTGGAAGTAAACCTTCCAGTTCCTTAGACTGACTCAGCAGAGTGTTTTTAATTAGCCTTGCTTTGGAAAGTTCTTCCCGATGTCTCTTCTCAGTCCGGATAGCCCTTGCACTCTTGTCAGCACTTTGAAGGTTGGGGTTGTACAGAGTGGCTTTTCTGTTCCCTCCTCCTGCCAACAACACACACGTACACGGAGTGGGCATTGTCCACATTGGCTTCTCCCTGAATTCACCAGACTCCCTGATGTTCTTAACCCAGCCCAGGGTATGTGGAGCCATTTTAATCTCCAGCAGCGGGGCATCTGTTACAATCTGGTCTTGCAGCCCTGGCTGTCCCAAGGGGTCTCCCTGTGTACTTCCTTCCCCTGCTTTTCGCATTTTGCTCCACTGAGCTGTCTTCTTTCCTGGTGCTTGGTGATGGGGTCTGGCTGGGGCTTCGTTTTCAGAGGGTTTTGGACTTCCCATCTCTAGGCCAGAAAGAAAACATGCCAGCAACCTCTCTTGGGAATGTTGCAGTCCCTCCTCAGAGCCACATTCTCACTGCTCCCCAGGGGACTGGGACCCCTGATGATGGGGGCAGCCGTGGAAGAAATTTAAGGACAGTGACAGAGTCAAGTTTGGGTTTAAAAGTGTCACACATGGGTGGACACAGGGAAACTAGTTAATAGACAGTTACACTCCTCTATCTCTCAAGCTTGTGGCCAGCTTAGACCATCAGATCCTTTTAATCACCAAGGCTGTTGTCAAAAAGGAATCTGGCTAATGTGTCTCCTTTTCTGCTGGACTGCTTTTCTTTGAGATGAAAAGTCTTTCTTTGTAAGAAATTGGAGAGGCCTCACAGAGGAGGGAGGGTAGGTCTAGACTCAGCGCTTGGAGAGACCCGGGTGTTCCAACATTATTTTTCCCCCCAGGAAACGGACAGAACTGACCATCTCTCTTGTCTCTCCACAGACCATCAGTGGCCTCCTGCAAGAGTTTGATGTCCAGGCAAGTAGAGGGACTGGCTTACCTCCCCGCTTCCCTGCTCTGCCTTCTCTCTTTCCTTCTTCTTCCGTTGGTTGAAGATCCGTTGTTCGGACACTAGGGGCAAGGGGAGGGAAGGAAGTTGCGTCAGCTGGTTCTCCCCACTCAGCTCCTTCTCCCCGGAAAGAAGCTGATTTGAGTTCTTTCCAAGGAAGCAAGAGCCCGTCACTCCCTCTGAAGGCAGGCAGGGGAGGCCGAAGTGTGGGGCATATGTGGGAGGGAAATGGGGGAGAAGTTGGGTGGGCTTGGGACCTGGTGATGGGAGGAAGCCGAGCAAGGCTTGATGTTCTTGGCTTTGCTTGGGAAAGTGAAGCCAGCCTCCTCTGGGTTTCCTCGCTCCATCCCTGCTCAGGGTTGGCGCAGGCAAGGGGGGTGTGTCTGGAACTTTGTCTAAGAACAAGTTTTCAGGAGAGTAGGCTGGCTGGTCTTGGTAGAAGGGAGGGTCAGAACCTCAGGAACTGTAAGCCCTGGACTCATTATCTCAAAGCTGGCATGGGTCCCACGCTGGGGGGTTGGAGGGACCCTGATGTGATGTGTCCTGGGCAGTATTGGGTCAATAGCACACCCTGTCTACTAACTCTCTTGTGAGTTTCTTTTCCTTTTTTTTTTTTCTGGTGGTGAAATACACATAAAATTTACCCTCCTAACCAATTTTAAGTGCATGCTGCAATGGTGCTAAGTACATTTCTAATGTGTGCAACCATCACCACTATCCATCTCCAGAACGCTTGATCTTGCAAAACTGAAACTCTGCCCCCAGTAAACACAGATTCCCCACTGTTTCCTCCCCACAGCCCCTGGCCACCACCATTCTGCTTTCTGTCTCTGAATCTGACTACTCTGTGCACCTCATATTAGTGGTATCGTGCAGCGTTTTGTCTTGTTGTCATTAGCTTACTTCACTTAATGTAATGTCCTCAGGATTCATCTGTGCTGTAGCAGGTGTCAGAATTCCCTTTTCTTCTATGGCTGAAAACTATTCCATGGGAGGTATGGACCACATTTTGTTCATTCATTCATCTATCAGTGGGCACTTAGGCTGCTTCCACATTTTGGCGATTATACGTAATGCTGCTGGGAGCGTGTGCATACGGATATCTGTTCGGGAACCCTGCTTTCAATTCTTTTGGGTATACCCCCAGGAGGAGAATTGTTGGAGCATACGATTATTGTAGATTTTTAAAACCTTGGTTATAGATTTGGAGAAAACTTGGATGCATCGTTTATCTGTTTCCTGTGAAGATAATTGCTCGTGTTTGTGTCACTCTTGGTAGTTTGCAAAGCACTGTCAGATGCTCCGATCTCTAGGCACTGGGAGCTGGTGGAGCGGAGAACAGGACCTCGGGCCCCATCTGCCAGCCCAGGCTACCACCTGGCCTTGAAGGTTGCCCAGGCTGGGGTGGGCGGGGCGCTGCACCGTCAGGACATCAGCACAGTGGTGACCACAAAGGGAAGCTCCGGCGAGGGGCTGGGAGAGATAGGGTGAGGCCTACCACATCGTGCACCAGGCCGGGCTGGGCCCTCGCAGTTAATCCCAGAGCTGTCCTGTGAGGTGGGAGCATTTTTCTGGTTGGGCATCCCTTTGTACCTTTCACAATTGCCTGCTTTGTGCCTGGCATTGTCTTAGGTGCTGGGGACACAGTGGGGAGCGTGACCGGCGTTAATCCTTGTTTTCAGGAACTTAAAATTCCAAACTGATAGCTCAGCACTATCGAGCACTGAACACATGGCAAGCATCACCCTTGAGTGCGCTGCATCTTTTGCTCAGGGCGTGCTCACAACAGTCCCTTCCTCCATGGTGCAGAGGGAGAGCCCAAAGCACAGAGGCTGAGTCACTTGCCTGAAGTCTCAGGACCGGAAAGGGGTAGGTTGGGGGGGGGGGACCTCAGCCAGTGCGTTTCCAGAGTGCATGTTTGAAACCATGGCTTCTGCCTCACTAGAAGTGGGGGGAAAACAATCAAACATGCCAAAACCAGCTCCTGGAGGGGCTTTGAGGACCACAGCTCCCCCTGTCTTGGTGGGGCACTGTCTTAGGCTGAGCGGTCCGGGAAGGCTGTTGGAGGCGGTGACATTGAATGGAGACTTGAATGATAGATGGAGCCAGTCAGGTGTCCAGGAGAAGCTTAGGGACCCATCATCCCATGCCAAGGCAAGATCACATGCAGGGGCCCCTCTGGCTTGGATCCCAAGCCTTCTGAGGGTGAGCTGACATCTCTAAGAAGCAAATAGGCTCGATCTTACCAGTGAATCACAATATTGGAGCTGATTCTGAGTGCTGAACGATACTCTGTCAAGGTTGTTTGCAAAGGTATCTCTTTCTATAAAACCATATTCATTGGGATTTGGCTCCTAGACCTAGTTGACTCATGGTGTTTATGAAGGTTTCCCTCGGATTTCCAGCAGTCTCCAAAATAGTGCGTGTGGGTACCTGAAGGATGTTCCTTCCGAAGATGCTCTCTGTGTCCTGAAGAGTTACCGACCACAGGGCCAGAGGCGGAGAAGGACAGAGCCGTGGTCAAGGGTGGCTGAGGGTGTCCATGCCCCAGCACAGGGGCTTGCCAGCCCACCCTGACCTCAGAATTCACACGGGGCTCTGGCACCGTGTCTCCTTGCCCGCCGCGGGCTTCATCAGCCTCTTTTGAGCTAGGCCAGGGCCCAGGGCTTCCCAGGCGCTCTTGCTGATTCTTCTGGGACTTGTCCCATCAGCCCTCGGTGGCAGATCAGGAAGCTGAGGTTTTCCTGTGGCCAGCAGCTGTGAAGGGGCCCCACCGAACGTGATCTGACCCCAACCATTCTTCTCTGCCTGAGGGCCGATCAGGACTAGAAGCCAGCGTATCTTTGCAACTCCGGCCAAAGACCAACCTGGCTGGGCAGATAATCTGGACAGTACTTTGGTGGGCGAACGTTTAACCCCCTTAGGGTGGGTCAGTGCAGGACTCAGGAATGGGTGTGCCTTCGTGACAAACTGCTTTCCTGTGTTCCTTGCTGCTCACTGAAACAGGGGCCCGGTCCGGCAGTTCCTTGGGGGTCAACTTTAAGGAGCCTGAGCAGCCTTACTGTGTGTGTCCCAAAGCAGCCCATGTTATTTCTTGAAAAATATTTGGTGCTTCAGCATTTTGACTAACTCAAGCAGACTCTTTGTTCTTTTCCCAAAGTAGTCAATTTTTTTTTCCCTCCCCCTGAATCAAAACACACACCGTAGCCCAGAGCTCAGCGGTAAGAAGCTGCTAGAAGGTCTGTTGCCCGAGCCGCAGGGCTGCCTGCCTTAGGAGAGAGCTTAGCTGCCAGAGCGGATGGCATCATGGCCTCATCTCCTCCTGGCTGACATCACCTTAGGCTAGGCAGTTCGTTTTTGGCCTGGGTGATATTTTGGGGCAAATCGATTGGTACCCAGGCATACGAGGTTCTGTGAGGGCTCTCGGGACCCTTCTTTGCATGTCTTTCCTGGAGACCCTCTGGGGCCCTCAGAGCACAGGGCTGGGTGGGCTGCTGGGCTGAGGTGCCTTGCCTGCAGGACAGATGCGGTTTGATCTGACTTTGCAGAGAAGGTTCTGGCATTAGGAACTAGGCAGTTGTGTTTGCAAATTTAACGAGTGGGCTAGGTAGGAATATTTTGGGTTCCAGCTTATTTTCTTTGGCTAGAATCCTAGAATCCAAGAATATCAGAGCTGGCAGATGCTTTATGATCTAGCCCTTCCCTTTCTGCTCCAGGTGGGGAGGCTTCCTGGAAGGCCACTGAGGGGAGGGGAGGGGAGAAGGGAGCGAATGCATATTTGCACGCCCACTTACGGTCTCAGGCCTTCTGTGCCAGGGTGGGAACGTTACCCTCTTTTGCAGATGAGAAATCAATCTGGAGATGTTAAGAAACTCACCAAAGGGTGCTCTCAGGATAACCCTCGATTTTGGCCCATGTAACTCTGAGATACGTGATAATCACGGGGGTCGTGATACCTAACGTCCTGGGCATTAGCTGTACCGCAGAAATTGTGCTGGCCTCTTCTGTGTGATGTCCTTACTCCTCACATCAGCCCTTTAGGAGAGGGCTTAGTGTCAGCCTTGTTTTATAGTTGGGGAGACAAGGCCCAGAGAAGGTTTAAGGGATTTGGCCTGTGTCGTTCAGTGACGAGATAGATGACCAAGCCTGACCCAGTCCCCACATCTGGAGCCAAAGTCAAAGTCCCTATAACCAGTGGGGGGGGGAGGGGCGGCAGGGTTGTGACCACTGCCCCTCACTGTGGCCCCAGGGTGGGACACTTGTTCTGGCCCCAAATGGCCTCTCCTGTTGGATTTGCTGTTTCTAATTCCTTCCACCTGGAACTTTAGTTTTTCAGATGGTTTGATTTGATTTGGTTTCCATGGGAATCTGCATCTGTGTGCTCACCAGGACTCCCTGGGCATGGAGCTGATGTCACCCACTGGGCCTCCGGGTGCGGGGTGGCGGGGGCTGGGGCACAGGAGGTGGTGGGCAGCGTCTCCTGGGGTCTGGCTCCCACTCTGAAGCCCAGTCTGAGCCTGGCGGAGGGTGAGGGTGTGGGGAGAGGTGAATTTTTCCCCTTTTCTTGGTAGCAGATCAGCTTCTAGGGAAAATGGAAACAGTGACCTTTTACTAATTTCTTTCTTTCCACACAGTTGCTTCTTGTTTTCATGCTCCCTGACTGAAGGTGGGCAGAACCCAGAGGCTTGGAAATCCTTGACCCACCATTTCCCATCCCTGCCTTCCCCCAGCCCCACCTCCCAGCCAGGCCACAGGGGCTTAGAGCCAAGCCCGAGTGACAGATGGCAGAAGCGCTCATCTGGGTCACCGAGAAATGAGGCTTGCCTCTTCTCTCCTCTGTGAGTTTCCTGGGAGTGCCCTCCTGGGGGCAGGCGCGGGGGGGAGCGTGGGAGAGGGACGCCTCGCCCACCCAGCGCCCCCAGGGTGGGGCTTGGCTCTCCCCAGGTCTGTCCAGCCCAGGCTGTCAGGCTCACCAAGTGTAGACACCCGTGTCTTGGCGTCACAGGGTGGGTGCAGCAGACAGAAGTGGGTTTTGATCAGCTCTGTCTTTTCTAGCTGTGTGTTCTTGGCCGGTGGCCCGACCTCCCAGGGGCTTAGTCTTCTAATCTGTAATCTGGGGGAGTATCACCACCCCTGAGGGTGTTGTGAATGTGATAAACACAGCATGGGAAGCAGCACACAAGCCTCCCTCTTCTGCTCCATGGGTGGATGGGTGGCCGGCGCTCCTCCTTCTCTTTTCTCTGATCCGACAAAGACTTCCCTCCTAATTCTCTCTTCCTTGGAGAATTGTGGTCTTTGGTGTGGGCTCCAGCTTCACTCTGTATTCCCAGGCTGACGCCCGTCTGCCCACACCAGCTGGTTTCCTGACTCTGTAGCTTTTCTTTTCCCTGATGTGATGACAGCGTTAAAGAAACTGGAGAAATGGGAGCAGCCCCAGGTTCAGCTGGGCCTCCTTGAGGTTGTATCTTCGAGGGGGCCCAGTGTGCCTCCTGTAACCTGGGGCTCGGCCGGCAATCAGGACACGGGGGTCCCAAGGGCTTGTCCTGAATCTTGCCTCTGCTACCTGCAGGTGCGTATGCTGGGGTGCACAGATGCTGGCTTTTTCCGTCTGTGAAATGGCTGTTACAGTGTTAGCTCAGTAAACAGACAACTGTCCTTATATGCAGATAATCTGTTTCTTGCACACACACGCCCCTTCCCAGCATCCTTCACTCTTTACCTGCTTCTTACATAATGGAAAGGAGGTCAGTGGCCTAGCCAGGCCTATCCCTTCCCCACTGTGGGCACTGGAAATGAACCAGGAGGATTTGGGGGTGGGGGGAGGGGTGTTAATTTACAAAAAGATGGTGGAGGGGCAATCCCTTGCCATTTCCTCCTGAGCCTCTGTTGTCATGATTTGTCTTTCTTGCCTCAACAACTGACTAGCCCAAATCAGTTTTCTTTGCCTGTTCCATAGAGTGCCCTCCGCCCTTGGCCGTGCCTTAACCGAGGCTTGCTAGACTGCTGGGAGGGGCAGCCCAGTGCACCAGCTGACTTAGCGTCTGCCTAAGTGTGTCATCCCTTAGAGTCCAGATCATTCCGTGTCTCCCCGGGGCTTGCTGGGAAGGAGGGGATTATGAAGGGAGGTGGCAGCAGCTGGTCTCAGAGCTCCCCTGGATCACTCAACCAGTTGACTTAAGCCATTGGGACCCTCTTGTGGCTTCACACTGATTATCTCTGGGATAAGCATCCATAACAACCAGCATGGAGCCAAATGCTGCCATTTGCAGAACACTTCCCAGTGCATACGGCAGTTTTAGTCTTGGGAGCAGCCCCATGAGCAGATGGACTTCTTACTGCCCACAGCTGACAGCTGAAGGGACTCCCAGACTAGTGTGGTAACTTGGCCCAGGGCACATGGTGAATGTATCATTAGGATTAACATCCCTCAACAGACAACAGAAATGTTGGCTATTCTACTGAATTGGAAGACCTATGAATGTCACCCAGTCCCAGACTCTTTCCAGCTTCCTGCTCTGTCTTCTCGAGCACGTAGGTTTTGTTCTCATGCTCCTAAGATGGCTGCCGCACCTCCAAGCATCTCTTTCATATTCCAGGGAGGAAGCAGGCAGAAGGGTGAAAGGAAAAAAAAACAGAAGGCCAATTTTGAACCTTAAAAAAAAAAACAAAACTCTCTTCAAAACTCCAGCAAGTTCTGCTGACATCTCATGAGCCAGAAATGAGTCTCTGGACCGCACCCCCCCTTGGCTATAAGGGGGATGGGGGAGGGGAGAATTTTATCAGGCACATTGCTGGGAATTCGGTCATAAAGGAGGGAATAACACGTTTGAGAGGCCAACCCACACAGTCAGCCATAGTTTATGAAGCTCTGAAGCCAGGCTGGGCAGCCGACATGAAACCTTAACGGAATACTTAGTGGTATTCCTGTTTTCACCACCTGGCATCTTGCAAGCCCTGTGGACAGTGGGGGTAGGATAGGTGCCATTCTTACAGGTGGTGTGGAATCTGTGAATCTTGGTGCCCTTTTGGGGCCAGACCTTGTCTCTGGCAGAGCCAGCCTCTCTCTCTGGGAATTGGCTGGCAGGTGGGAGGTGGTGATCAAACAGATCTTCGGCCCGTGGTGGGTGCTACAGATAAAAGAAGTGGCGTGCAGCGAAGGGGCCAGCCTGGTGCTGTGACGTTGGTGCCGAGGCCCTTCCCAGTTGGGCACCTGTCAGCCGTACCACAGTGTGCATTCCTCTAGTCCACATGCAGAGGACCCTGGCATGTGTCTGGATGGTGGGTCCCTGGAGAGGCTGGGGAGACAGAAAGCCATCCACAGTCACAGCAGTGGGGGGCTGACTCAGAGAGTCACTGGGCACGCTCTGTGTGGGTAAAGGTTTCTTCGATTCATGTACCATCTGGCACAGCGAGTATAACAGATGTCAGAGAGCACACAGAGTCCAAGGCTTCGGACTTGGACTGCCTCGGGTCCCGTTCCAGCTGTGTGACCTCCGGTAGATTACTTGCCCTCTCTTGGCCTGTCTCCTCTTCTGTAAAAGGGGACAGTTGTTGCCCGGTGGAGCTGTGTGCATTCGATGAGAGAACACTTGTAAATAAATGCTCGGGTCAGGGCCGGAGTCCAGTAGGAGGGCTGACTTGATGATTACTGCCGTCACATTGCCGCCACCTCTACACCTTCAGAGAGTGGCGTTCTAGGCTTTTCCAGAGGAGGCGAGAAGAAAAGCTGGGTATTTCTCTGTTGCATGCCTCTGGCTGGATCAGACCCCTGTGTGCAGGGACTTCAGAGATCTGGTTCTGAACTGGGGAAGGGCTGGGACTGGAGAGCTGGGTGGTGGAGGAATTGTGTGTGTGTGTGTGTGTGTGTGTTTCCAGCCACCGTCGTAGCAAAGGAGAGGACATTTGACGAGTCCCAGGACAGGGGATGCCCTCTTTCAGGCAAGCGGACACGAAGTGCACTGGGGTACTTGGTGCCCTCTCTTTGGGAGAATGTGGGGGATGTGAGGTCGGTCCCTCCCTACAGGATACTGCATGGTGATCCATCCCCATGGAGACAGAAGGACAGAAAGTTCCTTTGGGTCTGAAGAAGACAAAGGCATGTGTTTGTGTTTTAATTCCCCATCCAATCTCAGGTGCAGTCTTGGTTTTGGCCAGTGGGGAGAGAGTACCAGGGAGGGCTAGCTTAGAATCGTGCGTGTGGGTGTGTGTGTGCGCGTGCATGTGCACGCAAATGTGTGTGCGTGAGTGTGCACACGTGTGCATATGCATGTGTATGTGTGTATGCACGCACAATGTGCGTGTGTGCGCACGTGTGTGCATATGCATGCGTGCATGTGTACATCACACGTGTGTGTACGCGTGCATGCATCTGTGTCTTAAGGGATGGGACTCGCACCAGGAATGTGACACTTGGCTTTTCTCCTCCTCCTGCCTGTGTGGGCTCGTGGGCACAGACATCAGAGGCGGGCAGCTGGGGGCCAGCACCAGCGTGAGGCCCCAGAAGACCCGGGTTCTGATCCTGGTTCTTCTACAAGCTGTGTGACCTTGGGGAAGCCGCCTCAATGTCTTCATCTGTGAAATGGGATAGACAGGCTTGCCTGTGGCCATGGCGGTTGGGTGCCCCGTGCCTCGCAAATCTTATCCCTCACCTAAGTTCCCCCAGACCCATGCCTGAGCCCCTTCACTGTGTCGCTTCCGCTTTCTGAGACCGGATGCCTTATCCTTCCAAACAAGGTGAACCACGGCGAATGCTCCTGGCTGGGCTGTGGTCCGGGCTAGTGGTGAGGCGGCCGGCCACGGCCACACTTGTGTGGCTCCTCTCGAGGGTGAAGCCTTCGCGCTCAGTGGGGCCCGTGCAGTGCTGGGAGGTTTTGCACCCATCCTGGGAGATTTCATGCCAGTCCTGGAGTTGGGCGAGAGGGAGCTCACCAAGAAGCTCAGAGCCAATTAAGGGGCACAGGGGAGCCTGAATGCAGAATAGTTAGTGGACTTTCTAGAGAAGGATCATTTAGTCTCAGGTCTTTATTCAACAGTTCCAGAGCACCTACTGTAAGTGCTGACTGTGTGCTAGGCCTGGGGACAGAACTGTAAGCAGGGCAGGTCTGCCCCTCCCTTCTCGGACATGTTTAATTCTGGTTCCAGGGCTATATAATTTTAAGGCCCTCACAGAGATGAGTCAACATCAGCCACGCATCCCTACCCCTGGGGGCTGCCGGGGACATCTTTGGTGCCAGCCAAGGCTGGGCGTCCCATATCTGCCACCAAGGTGGTTCCCAAGCACTGCATTAAAACCCTCTGCTACCGTGTGCCAAGGACCCCCTTTCCTCCTGGCAGTGTTTCAGACCACAAGGTGACCTCCTCTCCTGAGGATCCTGGGGGGAGGTGGCTCACTCCTGTCTTCCAGACAGGGACCCAGGGCTCAGAGGGGTTGGGGAAGGGCAGAGCTTGGATTTGAACCCTGATGACCCCAGGCTGGCTGGCCTGGCCTATTTTTAGAGGGCGCCATGTGGGTCAGCTGGGGAGACAATGGAGAATGTGACCCTCTCAATGAGCCATTGTTCCCAGTTGGCTTCAGGGCCAGGGCCAGGCCCAGCAGATGACCGTGGCCCCCACTGGGGGCCAGGCTGTTACTCCATCGTCTGTGGATTTTTCCAGTGTTTGTATAGGCAAGAGCGGAGTGTTGGGCATCGAGGGGAAGAGAGATGGTGGGCTCTGTGTTCAGGGGACTCCCTTCATTGGGTGATGAGGCAGGTGGCTCAGGAGGACCCTGGTGATGGGGGTAGGCCTGGGACTGACAGGGAGCAGGGGTCGCCTCCATGCCGTGGCCTGTGTGGGCCCGTCCGCATCACACACCCTATGAGGTTCCAGGGTTCCCCTCATTTCACAGGTACGATGGCAGCCTGGAAAGGCCCCCCCGCCCCCGGTACCCAGCATCCCACTTGCTTGCTTCCGGGGGTCTTCAGAGTGAGGGCTGGAAGCCCCTGCATCGCTTGCTTGGGATGGGGAGGGGAGTGGCTTCTTTCTACACATGCAGATACTATGCTTCCCCGTTCTGGAGGGAGAGCCTGAGAATTGGGGCATATTTCTTTCTTTGTGAGCCAAGTTTCTCCCAGGTCTGGGGTCAAGGGGCTTCGCTGTGTCCTGTGGTCTCCTGGCATCCCTGGAGCTGCCAGGTTCCCGTGGTACAGGCTGGGCGAAGGGCAGCTTGCCCAGCTCCACAAGGCTCCTAACTGGGGCATCCAGCCCATTTCTTCTTCTTGTCCATGTGGGGTGGACACTGACCTACTCTCTCCCGCCGTTCGTCAGTGATCCAAACCACTGTCAGTGGTTTTGGGAGCAGGTTCGATGGCATCTGGAATGTTCTCTCCTTGGGAAATAAATGTCAAGGGCCAACCTAACATGGCCTCCTGAGGCGTGAACGTGGTTTGGCTCTCCGAGCTTCTCAGAGTGTGAGGCTGTAAGAAGCCTGTGGGGAACACGGAGGCTGACTCTCTGGGTGGGTCTTGAGTGTGATTCGGGGCAGCTGCCTTGGTTTCCCTGAGCCAGATTATCACCCTCCGCCAGCTCAGGGATGTGCCGGCGTGGACGTGGGAGCAGGCAGTCTAGGAAGCTCAGGCCTTGATGACCTCAGTTTCCCAAGATGGAGAAAACAAGGCCCTGTGCAGAGAGGGGCTGGGGCTGGTGCCTTCGCCAAGTTTTGGGCAGTTAATGGCACAGTCTGAACCAGGACTCTTGGCCTCTGCCTCCAGTTGACTTTCCCTTCCCTCCCCGGTTCTTGGGGTGGTTTCTCTGGCCGGAGAGATCCGCTACCCAAAGGCCAGGGCTCTGCTGACCAAACGAGAAACATACTTGGAGCTTCCTCAGAACACAGTTGGAAACTGGGTGCCTACAGTCAAGAGTCCCAGCCGCACCAACGCTGCGAAGCGCACAGCACAGACCCCTCTGTCTCCTGTCTTCCCTCAGGAGCAGGACATCGAGACGGTGCATGGCTCCATTCATGTCACACTGTGCGGGACCCCCAAGGGAAACCGGCCTGTCATCCTCACATACCATGACATCGGCATGAACCGTAAGTTCCCAGGAGCCTCAGTTCCCCCTGGGGGTGGAGGAAGAGGACCGCTAGGAAGGGCTGGTGGTGGGGCATCCAGCTCTTTTTTGCCGGCACTTCCTGGAGCACTTGCGGGAAGAGAACTTGCCACAGACTGGAAGAGCCTGGGATGCAGGACGCACAGCACAGAGTTGTGTTTGTGTCTGGGTGTGCTGGGAACTCGGGGCCCTCTGCTGTCTGCGTGTGACAGTGACAACTCTGGATCAATGTGCATAGTTGTTCTTATTATTTTCACCGAGTTGTACAACCGTCAGCACCATCCATTTAAGAACATTTTTATCACCCTGAAAAATCTGTAACCCCCCGCCCCCCCATCTCCCTTTGCCCCCAGCCCCTGGCAGCCACTGGTCTACTTTCTGTCTCTAAGGACATGCGTATCTGGGGCATTCGTTATAAATGGAATCCTACCATATGCGGTGTTTTGCGACTGGCTTCTTTCATAATGGTTTCGGTTCATCCGCACGGTCGCCTGTATTACGTACTTCCTTCCCTGTTGCTGAATGATATTCCACTGAGTGCAGAGACCACATTTTGTTTTTCTATTCTTCAGTTGATCAACATTTGGATGGTTTTTGCTTTTTTGGCTCTTCTGAATGAGGCTGCCGTGAATGTTCATGCTGTATGCTTGAGATTCCCAGGAAGTGTTAGCATACGTGGGTTCCCCATTTTTTTCACAGACGGTAAAGGAGTAAGATCTACTGAATGTTAAAATTGCACAGGATAGAAGTGAATCTTTCCATGGCGATTGGGAAGGCACTGCCGGCCTTCACGTGCAGTCACCTCTGTAATCCTGAGTATCGCAGGCTGGACGATGGCTTGATTTGTGATTGACAGCCTGCCTGGCTTGCATGTTTTTCCTACAGCTTCTTAGTACCTTGAGGCAATGATGTCAGTCCCTGAAAACCATTTTCTCCTTCAGCTTTCCTTCTCTTTTATCCCTCTTCCTCCTCTGTGTGCCCGCCCTTGTATCCCTTCGGTACCAGCTCCCATGCTAGGTACTTGGGTATCTGTTACCTTATGTTACCGTACTCTGGTGAGGAATGGAATTGCATGTGGTGCTGTTCTACCCTTGTGGTAGAAGCTCACTGTTCAGTAAGCCAACTGCAGAAATAAAAGCCCCCAAGACCTCTGTGGCTATACACAATGTACGTTTATCTCTCCCTCCTGTAATACCTCTGGGCATTCTGTGGGACTCCCTTTCTCATGGTGGTTCCAGGACCTGGGCTCCTGCCAGCTGTGGCTCCTCCATCCCCTGGGGCCTCAGAGCCTTGTGCCTCTGGCAGATGACAGCAGAGAGAGAAACCTAGAAGGGTGGGTGGCAAGTGTTAACAAGAAACTGTGAGCTTCGCGTGCTATTGGCCAGAACCTGGTCACATGGCTGCCTCTTGTTGCAAAGGCGTCTGGGAAATGTAGTCCTGTGTGCCCAAATGTGCCCAGGGGGTGGGTTGGTGGCCAGCTGGCCATCTTTGACTTGGGCGCTCAGCAAATTGGGAGACTCATCCAAGGCAACATAAGAAGTGAGAGGGTCCATGCTTGATCTCCTATGCCCTTCCTTGGTTGAGAAGCATGTGCCCTGGCCATTACTTCCATTGTGGAGGTTTAGGAGACCCACACAGAAAGAGGGCATGAGGGCAGCCAGCCCACCTCACCCCAGGGCCATCGCAGCTGCGGCTGTTGGGGGAAGATGCAGGAACCGGGATGGGAGTCTCCTCCCAGCAGCAGCTCCAGGTTTGAGCTTCGGCCGCCGCCGGCGTATATGGCGACCATTGCCACCTCCATACCCGGGTGCTTGCCTTCTGTCACCAGAGGGGAGTGGGAGGGGGGCAGGAAGGTTGGCATTCTTTCTTGTATGTGCATTCCTCCGCTGCATGGGAGTGAGACCAGCAGAATGCCACCACATGCCGCCGAGCAGCCAGATGTATTCTCTCCTTCCTCCTTCCTCTTTTCTCTCCCCCTCCTGTCCTCCAGACAAAACCTGCTACAACCCCCTCTTCAACTCCGAGGACATGCAGGAGATCACGCAGCACTTCGCCGTCTGCCACGTGGACGCCCCTGGCCAGCAGGATGGCGCAGCCTCCTTCCCCGTGGGGTAAGACCCGGGGGCTCATGTCCTGGGGGGGGACAGGAGAGCTACACAGGTGGAGGGGGCTGGCGTCGGACTGGGTTTTTGTTTTATTGCAGTAAGATATATATAAGCCAAGATTTACCACTGTAACCATTTTGGAGTGTGGTGAGTTCAGTAGCGTTAAGTGCATTCGCACTGTTGTGCAACTGTCCCCACCGTCCATCTCCAGGACTACTTGACTCTCCTAAACTGAAATGCTGGCCCTGCTAAGCACTAACTCCTTGCTCCCCACCACCCACCCCTGCTGCCCCCCCAACCCCTGCTCTCACCCACCCAGGGAGCTAGCTTTTTAATAGGTGTGCATGACCTGCACAGGACCCAGTGGGAGAGGACTTTCATATGAAAAATAGTTAGGAGAGAGTTCTAGAAAAGTGGAAAGAAAAGGAGAGAGAACAATAAGAAATAACACTGATGAAGTACTTCCTGTGGTCCAGGTTTAGGTTTTGTTTTGTTTTTGTTTTAAGATTTATTTAATTATTAGAGAGAGAGGGTGCTCGAGTGCAGGGGCGGGGGGCAGAGAGAAGCAGACTCCCAGCCCAGCACAGAGCCCAACATGGGGCTTGATCCCATGACCCTGAGATCGTGACCTGAGCCAAAATCAAGAGTCAGATGCTTAACCTACTGAGACACCCAGGCGCCACAGCCGCCCCCCACAGCTTAGTTTTTATTCACACGGGTCACTTGCACTTAATCCTACGTATGGTTAGTATACGTGCCTGGTGTTATAGCTCCATTTCTTGGACGAAGAAACTGAGGAGTGGAAGGGCTAAGTACCTTGCTCAAGGTCACAGAGCTAGTTTAACGGGGGG